CCTTGTGATCTGCCCACCTTGGCCTCCCAAAGTGCTAGGATTACAGGTGTGAGCCACTGCGCCTGGCCTTTTTTTTTTTTTTTTTAATTTAAGAGATGGGGTCTCACTATGTTGCCCAGGCTGATCTTGAACTCCTATGTTCAAGTGGTCCTCCCACCTTGGCCTCTCAAAGTGTTGGGCTTACAGGCGTGGGCCACTGCACCCAGCCTAGTTGCTGGATCTTGACTGTGGTTAGTCTGTCTCACTGTGCCAACTGAAATGCTGCCAGTCATCGCCCAGGCCTTGCACATGTGTTCCTGTCCCATCTGGAAGGAACACTCTTTCCAAGATGGTCTGAATTGTCATTCCTTCCCCTAGACCATGAGCTCCTCAAAGGCAGAGATGGTGTTGTTCACTCCTGGATCCCTGGCATCTTGGGGGATGCAGGTGTTTGTTGAATGAATGAATGAATGAATGAATGAGTGTGGTCTCTCTGTCACAGGATAGAACACCTGGGACTCAATGTGGTGCTGCAGCTGCTGGTGGGGGTGCCCCTGGAGATGGTGCATGGAGCCACCCGAATTGGGCTTGTCTACGTGGCCGGCGTTGTGGCAGGTAGGCAGGTAGGCCCTGTGTCCACAAAGGCACATTGCCCCAGGGTGGGGTGGGAGACCCTGTGGGGTGGGACAAGCCCCAGGCTTCCAGGACACACAGAAGATCCTCATCTCCAAGGCTCCTGACTTACCGGGCTGTCCTCCAGGCACACGCACCTCCCAGGAGGCTGGAGAGGGGACTGCTGCCCAGAGAGGGAGGTGTGTGGCAGGACGGGGGAGGAGAGCACTGGATTTGGGACAGGCTGGCCAACCGACTCAGTCTCACACCACCATGTGGTAGCTTCTGAGCTTGGGGAAATTTCCTAACCTCTTTTGGCCATGTTAAGCTTTAAGAGGGAACTAATGAGATCTGCCTATAGGGTTGCTCGGAGGGTGGAGTGAGTGAGGCAACAGATGGAACAACAGTGCTCTGATAACTGCAAGGGCACAGTGAGATCCCCAAGGGGGAATCAAAGGGGTGAGTGGAGCCAGGTACCGTCCTGGCCGCATAGCACCTGTCCCCAAAAGGAGAGCTGGCTGCTACCCAGACCAACCGCAGTTCCCTTGCCTGACCCACTGCTGACAGGGAGTCTGGCCTAAGAGGCAGTGAGCCCTGGCTCCATCTGAAGGCGTCTGGGCCTCCAGCTGACTGGGCACACATGTGGCAGGTGATCATCCTTCATGGATAGTGGCCAGAGTGACTTCCAGTGAGCCTTCCACCTTCTGCCCCTCCCCAGTGGGAGGTGAGGTGGGTGAAGTGAGCTGGGGAGAGCGTGGCTTGCCCCTCCCCAGTGGGAGGTGAGGTGGGTGAAGTGAGCT